TCTCCCAGCTTAGACTCACTCCTTTGCCCCTCCTCGAAATTTCTTCATTTTCCAATTAAGATCCAGGCAAAAATCTGTCTATTTCAATGAGCAAATGTCTGTCATAACTCACCCTCTGGAACAGGAAGACTTAGGGCCTTTGCAGACTGCCAGAAATAGTGCCAATTGAGTCCACTTTAACTGCCCTGGCAGCTAGGGAATCATGGGAATTGTATTTTTTTCTGAGACATTGAGCCTTCTCTGTCAGAGAGCTCTGGTGCCACAATAAACTACAGTTCCCATGATTCCCTAGCACTGAGTCAGGGCAGTTAAAGTGGACTCAATTTGCACTACTTCTGGCAGTCTGCAAAGGCCCTCAGTCTCAGAGGATTGCCAGAAATTTACGGTTCTATGTAATGGTGGTCCCAAGAGATGGCAGATGATGCAATTGGGAAACTCACTCCACAACAGGAGGTGGCAGATGCTGAAAACTCACCTTCATTCTTTGAAGACTGCTAAAGAAATAAGGAGAAGCATTGTAGATCCCTGTATCTGTTAAACAGGAAATGCTGACTCACTAAGCACCTGGTGTCCTGAAACAGCTGCCTATAAAATTTGCTAGTAGCTCCCTGGCATCTTTGTTTCCTGCAACCATTCTACCCTGGTGAGTGGCACTACTCTTGACATTTGCATGCTCCCAACCTTGGGCTGGCTATGATAAACAACTCTTGTGTTTTATTTCTTGGCTTTGTTTATCTAGATTAATAACTTGCTATAACAGTTTCTGGACTGGATGATGACTTCCCTCTTGTTTCTCTTTTCATCTTGCTGAATATCATGTGACTGACATGGACTGGATTAACAACCTGACAGCTCTTGCTTTACAACCATCTGATGCCTGGGTCACTTGCTGACTGGGGCATAGGTCAATGTGTGAGATAGTTTCCCCTCCACACCTGAGAACCTGGGTCAACTTGAGCCAAGCATGGATGGATTCATGGAACAGACAAATAGTAATTAGTTGAACCTCCTCCAATTCTCTTCAGGGAAAGGATGGCTGACTCCATTCAAGGTGATTCCCTGAATTAGCAGGTTGTGGCAAGATGCTCAATGTACTGTTCTACTTTGAAAATAAATATTGGCCAAGATTCTGCATCAGGAGACTTCAGCAACAGAGACATGACCACAGAGTTGTAGCTGCCCCCCCCCAAAAAAAAACCCTTTTCAGCAGCACAACTAACACAGCCATTTTCATGTTGCAGAGGAATGAAAGAATAAGGAGAGGCAAGTCTACCTCTCTTCCTGTAGTTGGAAACACTGCAACAGGCATTTGAGGCGAGATCTCTTCAAAGATGTCCCTGCTACATTGCTCAAAACATATATTTTGCATGGACTTTTGGCAATAAAAGTGTATTGTGATGGCATTTATCTATGAGCCTCCTTGGGTCCCTCCTGGGAGAAAGGTGGCATATAAAATAAATAAATAAATTACAGCATCATAATTACTGAACAGAATGTCTGCCATTGTTATAGTAGGCCAATAAGTTATCAACTGATTTTTGCACCAGTACAAATGATATAGTTAGAGCTCAATACATACTGGCTTTAAAATAGGATTGTGACTGATTTGCTGACAAAATTCAGCAAAACCATTGTTTTCATCATTTATCTTTTTTTCAAGATATTTTTTTCCAATTTTTTTGCCACTTTGCTGCTGAATGCTTTTTTTTTTTTTTGGGAGGGGTGGGTGAAATAGCTATGATGCAGCATGAAGCCCCAAAGACTATGCATTGCCCATTCCTACATTAAAGTGATTGTTTCATTTGATATTATTATTATTATTATTATTATTATTATTATTATTATTATTATTTTCCTGTTCCCCCGTAACTGTACAGAAACATCATTTAAAAGTACAAATTTAAAAGTTATTTAAGAGCAATTAAACTATTTATAAAATACCATTAGTGCTCATTAAAAGATTATATATAAACTAAGCAGCAGCACAGGGCACAGTTAAAAGCCTATCCCAGTCAGTTTTTAAAAGCATAACAGTTTCTCAATGAAAGGAGAGCACAGAAGGAACCACTCTAGCCTTGATAGGGATGGAGCTCCAAAGTTTGGGAAATACTACCAAGAAGGACCTCTCCAAGTGCATCTGCACTGTAGAAATGATGCAACTGACACTACTAACTGTCATCTCTAATGAAAAGGTGGCAAGAGAAAGAGAAAGACCTCTCTTAAAGATCTTAGTGCTCTAAGTGAATACATAAAGGGAGGTATGGGAGGTTCCAGACATCCTGGAACCAACCTGTACAGGACTTTATAGATCATCATCAGCCTTTGCACATTATTCTTTCTCAGCCCCCTTCTCCACCCACATCTGGCTTTGAATACATGCAAATAAGCAATTCTCCTGTTGTTTTGGAAAAAAAATAGTGTTATCCTGCATAAACAGGAGTATATGAACTGAATGAAATGAATGAATGAATGAAACTATGTGTGTACCATATCCCTGTATAACCTTTCTGTTAATTGTTCATCAAAATCCTCTAGAGTCAAATTAGGAAGATCGGAATATTTTATAGCAGGGGTTCCCAACCTTTTTTACTAACAGAGCCCTTATTTCTATGGCAGAGCCTCTAAGAGGCCTACCCTATGCCTTGCAAGTTAATGGTGTATAGGAGTATATATGAGAATATATTCTTATTCTTTAATTTCATTCAATTGTTATTTCTTTCATTTTCCTGGAGTAGCCACAGAGCACCTGAGAAGTGCACACAGAACTCTAAGGGCTCCTCAGAGCACAGGTTGGAATCCCCTGTTTTATAGCAACAAATTCTTCAATGAGCAAATGTGTTACTAATTCAGTAATGGCACAGCATAAATCAATTGAAATGGACTTCATATGTCTACTAGCAAAGGCAGTCACAAATAATCAGGTTGTAGGGAACTTTGGCCATCCGCATGTTTACGACTACACACCTTATAATCCCTTACAATTTATGTTTAGGTTTGCTGGATGGGGTTGATGAGAGTTGTAGACCCAAACATCTGAAGGGCCAAAGATGCCCCTCTCCTGATTTAACAAAGCAATTTTTTCAGGGGTTCTCAGGCATAAGCACTGTATAAACACATAGCACAGAAAGTTTTGCACAGGACTCCCTACACCACAGACCTCTTCCTATCCAACTATAATTGAAATTGATCATCCTTAAGCCAAAGATAGTTTAAAATCCCATCCTTATTGGAATCCATACCTTTTTACATATCCCAGAACAAAGACTGCATATGTAATTCATCAGACTGGGATAAATGAATATTACTGGTGTTATTTAATCATGCTGTCCCTTTCGTGACTAATGCCATTCATCTTGAAGTAGTGAAGAAAAATAAAATGGTCTTATGATGAGACAGCTATGCAAATACAACATTCCCTAAACTGATCCTGCTTGGGACTGTTCAGCACTGTTCTGACCATTATTTTTATCATAAAATTTTGAAGGTCCTGATCAAAGGTAAAAAGATCACAGAATGTTGAAGGAAGCAAAGAGGGACATCAGATTGGTGGGCTTTTCTGTTAATAAAATTAATGATTCTTTTTCCCCAAAGGCAAGGCAAGGTGATGGTTGTTGTTCTTGTTACATTTATTTTTATCCCACTTTTTCCCTTGTCTAAGACTCAAGGCAGCTTATGAAGGTTAAAACACGTACAGCTTTAAAATTCACATCATGTAAAGGTTAAAGATCTAATTAAACTAACAATAGAATCAAAAGCAGTTAAAAGCATGAAATAAACAGTACAGCACATTCTAAAAGGCCGTTTCTTGCTGAGCAGCCAGCCCTCATAGGACAACCAAACCAAAACAGGGCTCCACTTGTCTGCAGCAAGATGGCAAGGAAGGTGCCAGTCTAACCTCTCTGGGAATGGAGTTCCAGAGCTAGAGAGCAGCCACTGAGAAGGCCCTCTCCCAAGTTCCAACTAAATGTGCCTGTAAAAGTGATGTGAAAGAGAACGGCCTCCCCACATCTCAAAACATAGGCAGGATCATATGGGAGAATATGGTCCTTCAGATAATTTGGACCTGGGCCCTATAGGGCCTCATAGATCATAACCAACACTTTCAATTGTGCCCAGAAGCAGATTAGCAGCCAGTGGTATTGTTATAGCAAGGACGACATGCCAGACTGTGTGCCACTTACGAGCTTATAGCACCATAAACTGGGACATTTTAAAGCAGCTGGAAAAGTGGAATAACATGTTCAATCAGGACTGTCTTTGCCAAATCAGGACTGATGGAGGGTTTGATGCATGCACCATGCATTAGCTTCAAGATAGCTCTTAAAACAGGGCTTCGTCACTTTAGCAGCTCTGACTGCCTCCTGTTGCATTTTGGGGTTTGTAGTTCAGTGAGGCTTAAAGGCTCTCTGGCTAAATATTCTAAATGCCCCTTCCTAACCTACAAGTTCCAGAATGCAACAGGAGGCAGAGCAGTAAAAATGACCTAGTCCCATTTTAAGAGTCTCCTGAGACTGCATCTACACTGCAGAATTAATGTAGTTTGATAACGGCTTTAATTGGCATGGCTGAATGCTATGGAATTCTGGGATTTTTAGTTTTGTGAGCAATTTGGCCATCTCTGTTGGAGAGTTCTAGTGGCACAACAAACTAAAAGTGCCAGGATTCCATAGAGTGGTGCCATAATAGTTAAAGCAGTGTCAAACTGCATCAATTTTTGCAGCATAAAAGTAGTCTATGCTTTTTTAAAAATGAAATTTCAAGATAAATCTGAATGTTTCTGTTTCTGGAATGTCTGGAAAATGTTAAAGAAAAAGGATAAGACTGCTAACACAGCTCTTCACTTGCTTACCACTGATAGGTCTTGAGAACAGTCATAGATAGCAGAAAATTCAGGCAGGTTCCCATCTGCAGAGCCACTGTAAGGAGCTGATTGTCCCTGTGTACTTGAGATGGGTGGGGTTGGGGGGGGGGACAGAGCAACAGGTAATGGGAACATGAGAGCCAGGATGGTGTAGTGGTTTGACTATTGGATTACAACTCTGGAGACCAGGGTTCAATTCCCAGCTCAGCCATGAAATCCACTGGGCGACTTTAGACAAGTCCCATGCTCTCAGTCTCAGTGGAAGGCAAAACATCTGTCTGCTTTTTTTCTCTCTCTTTTTTTTAAGAGTCAGGCTGGTTTCATCCCAACTGAGAAGTTTCTGAATTTTGTAAACTGCATTCAAATGATTTCCCCCTATTTGTACCTGAAACAGTTACTGTATTCACAGGATGGAGATTACTGCATTTTTGCTCATTTTCCATATCAATAGTTATTACAGTTTAAGAGCCTTGGGGAAGGGGTTGACAGTCCCAACCCAGCACTAATAAGGTTGTGTTAACAGATTTTCAGTTCCAAATGTTTAAAGGTTAACTACTCTAAACCCTGGGCATGGATAGATATATCTATTTTACTATGGAATATTATGCTATGGAATATTGGGAATCATAGTTTGTTGTGGCACCACAGCTCTCTAAAAGAAAAGGCTAAATGTCCCACAAAACTACAGTTTCTCAAATTCCATGGTACTGAGCCATGGCAGTTAAAATGGTATCAAACTGGATTATTTCTCCAGAGTGGATGTAGCTTAACAGGCTAGCATAATTTAATAGCCCTTTTAAAAGAGTCCATTTTTAAAAAATGATATGACTTTTGAAACATCAGAATTAAATCATTTAAAATTGTTAATTTCAAATATTAGTAATATATGAGTTGAATATTCACTATTGTGTCAGTTCAGTAGATTAAATGTCCTCCCATTGCCCACTGCATTTAGGCTTGGATTTATGACAGCAGGAATAAACTTTTAAGTGCAGGCCTTTAGTCCTTTCAAGGTGATAGACATTTGGGAACCTGAGAGAACATGGATGTTTGTCAGACATTGCTCAACCCAAGGTACAGCATGGTGACTCTGTCCAACCCTATGCCACCACCAGCATGGGGAGGAGTACCAAAGTGAAAGGCATCAATGTATGACTTTGTTGGCTTTCATGACCAGCATCCATAGTTTTTGTGAGTTTTTTGGGTTGTGTGGCCATGTTCTAGAAGAGTTTCTTTCTGACATTTCACCAGCATCTGTGGCTGGCATCTCCAGAGAATGCTGGAGAAAGCATATCCACCTACCCTCAGGCCCTGCCATCAACACAGAACAATACACAATCAACAACAGAACAATACCAGTTTACATAGGAATCACTCCTCCCTACCCAGGGTCTCACAGTATATATATACCCATTCTCTTCCATTCCAGCATTCTCTGAAGATGCCAGCCACAGATGACGGCAAAACATCAGAAAGAAACTCTTCTAGAACATGGCCACACAGCCTGAAAAACCCACAAAAAACAATGTATGACTTGATTTCTCCAAATCAATGTCATGATGCAAGGCTCTCTCAGTCAGTAGCTGAGGGTCATGAATTCAGTGAGCACCAAACAAAATCTCTTCACCTCCCATAAACATATCATAGGAATTAGAGGTTTTAGGATTTTGTGGATCTGGCATCCTATAAAAAGGTCTTACAGCCAGTGGGTAGTGCACCTTTGATGTCAACAATACTCTCTTTTTTGATGTTGGCAGCAAACTTTACCATTTGCTAACTTGCATGGTCTCCCGCAGCCACTGGAGCTTAGACATTAAACTGCTGCTGACATAGGACTAAGAAACACTGTTTTTCTTTCACTTTATTGGTATGGACTCTACCACAAACCCAGACAGCTTCATTGGCTTTCTCTCCTGTCAAATACTTTACTCAAATTAATACGCGATCTGGTTTCTCCTGGGATTGTATCAGTGACAACAGCCCATATCTTTCCTTTGTATAGTCCGTCTCAAGATACCATCCTCATGGAACTTCGTGCTGTGCTTCCAGGCACATCAAAGATGCAGAGGGAGAACCCCTTTAGGAGTCATATTCTAAGACTGCAATTCCTAGCTCCTAATATCCAAACTCCAATAGCCCTAATTATCAACAGGCCTAGGCACATTTTGCAAACTCAAGGCTGTGGCTTCGCTGATTGCATCAGTCCATCTGTAATATGGTCTTCCATTTTTCTTACTCATCTTTCACTTATAATCTTTTCTAATGAATCATGTCATTCATGATATGGCCAAATAGGATGACCACAGTTTGGTTATTTTGGCTTCTAGTGAATGCTCAGGCTTGATTTGCTCTTGGACTCATTTATTTGTATTTTTGCCATTCAATGTTATCTGTAGAAGTCCAGCACCACATTTCAAATGAATTAATTCTCTTCCTGAAAGCTTTCTTTACAGCCCAGCTTTCACAATCATAGTAAAAACTTCAAAGTGATGTTAGAATTTGGGGGGGAGGGGGGAGATGTGATATTATCCATATATTTTTATAAAAACAGATCCTTTCTTGTTGCCTGTGGAGTTCATGGTTGGCCATATGTCCAGCCTCATGTGAACAATACTGGAACAAACCAGGAACAATTCCAGTGCCATTGAGATTTGTATCAGATTTCTCCAGCATCCCCTGATCACCATGTCTGATGGCAATGAATTCTATCACTTAATTCTTTGTAGTATTTCCATTTTGCACCACTGATTTTTGGGAGATTAAGGGGGGTTGCAGACTGCCAGAAATAGTGCAAGTTGAGTCCACTTTTAGGGTTAGGGTTAGGGTTAGGGAATCATGGGAACTGTATTTTATTGTGGCACCAGAGCTCTCTGACAGAGAAGGCTCAATGTCTCAGAAAAAAAAGCAATTCCCATGATTCCCTAGCACTAACCCTAACCCTAAAAGTGGACTCAATTTGCATTATTTCTGGCAGTCTGCAACCCCCCTTAGTTTGTGGCTGTTGGATAGCCCTTTCTTATCTGCCTCCTTGCCAGTGACTATGAATTTGACTTCTATGAGAATTATTCAGCCCTCACAGCTACAAATTCTGATAAAGCCAGACAAGAACAATTTCAAAATACAAAACTCTTACTTGTGAGCTATAAAGATAAAAACCAATGTATGTTGCAGGCTTCCCCCCCCCCTTTTTTTTTTTTTTACATTGTCCTTGCTGTAATATCAACAGAACTAACAGCAGAGCTGCTCATGTGGGGGATGGCTTTTGAAAGTCATTAGGACACTGTACCTGGGTTCATACTATATACAACAGGAGATATTTGACAGAACCAATCCATTCCTGTCAGACACTTCTCAGATTTTACTGTTTCTCTGTGATAATTAGTGATGTACAATTCAGCTATAATTTCCTCTATACATGAACCAGACATTTCAGCAAGTCAAGGTTTTGTCTACTCTGATGTCTTCAGAGTACTCCTTCCAAAAATATTTTTTTAAAAAAAATGTAATGGTATAAAATATTCAAAATACAGGTTGAGTCTCTTTTATCTGAAATGCTTGGGACCAGAATTGTTTTGGATTTCAGATGATGATGATGATTGGATTTCAGAATAGCTTATTTACATAGACATACATAATGAGATATCTTGGAGAGGGGACCCAGTTTAAACATAACATTCATTTACGTTTCATATGTATCTTATATACATAGTCTGTAAGTAAAGTTTATACAATATTTTAAAATAATTTTGTGCATGACACAAAGGGCCTCGGCAGATGGCTAAAAGAGTCATCTTGGAGGCAATGAAGAAGAGGGGCAGCCGCACGAGCGGCGCCCCTTCCTCTTCCCGAGGTTGCCCTTGGAGCTGCCAGCCCTCCGCACGGTCGGTGCTCCGGGGGCAACCTCCTGCCGCAGCATCCTCACACGCTGCAGCAGAAAAGACAGGGAAAGTGCTCCCTACACATTTAGGGTGCGCTTTCCCTGTCTTCTAAAAGGAGTGCCAATTTGGAGCTCCTTTTAGGGTTGCCGCAGGAGTGCCGCGGTGCGGAGGCTGCGGTCCCGCAGCGCTCCGGACCAGGGCGTCCCCAATGCCCTGGTCTGCATCCCCCCAAAGTTTGTGTACACTGAACTGTCAGAAAGCAAAGGTGTTACTATCTCAGCCATCCATGGAAAAGTTTTGGTTTTTGAATTATTTTAGTGTTTGGAATTCCAGATAAGAGACACACAACCTGTAATATACTTTTCCCTGTCTACAGGTCACAATGATTCAAAGCCACTAACATCCATTTGTGCATGCAAAGATCTGTTGCTTTTCTTCCATTTGCATTTCTATCACCATCATCACATTCAAAAACAATGTGCTCTACACTACAACAATATAAGTAAATATTCCTATAAATTTTGAGGACATGGAATCTTTCCCACCTGGCAACAGATTCTGCTAAGACAAGCCAGTCAAGCATTGCCATGCTTTCAGAAATAGGAAAATCTAGCACCACTAGATTCCATGGTGGGTTTCACTTCCTCTGGTCTGTCTACTCCCTAAGGTCAGAAGGGGAAGGAGAAACATATATAAGAGAAACAAACAGCATGGACCTCTTAGTGGCAGCACTAATACTGTAGAACATCATGCCCCAGGAAGCAGTCCTTAACTCTGTTTCACTGGGCAGGGGGAAGTATTCCAACAGATTTTACTCTATTGTGCAGCTGGTGTTTTATGTCAGTGTTATGATTATATGTGGCCTCTTGTATTTTAATTTTATGTTCATTGTTGGTCTTTTAATGCATTTTAATGGAATTTAATTATATTTTATGATATTGCAATTTTAACAGCCTTTAACTAGCCCTGAGTAGTGCACAGATGGGTGGGACAGAAATCTCAACATAAAAAAAATAGATATTTCACTCTTTCTGTTCTCAGGGGCATAAATGCCCCCCATGTCCCTAGAGCCAGAATGTAAATGTAAATCTCTCATTTGATAATAAATCTGTTAAACAGATAAACACTTACTTTACTGAATGGATGGCAAATTAGTTGTGCCCATTTATTTTCCAGTTTTCAGTCCTCTGAGGAAAATCAATTAAGATGTATAATAAATTAGCTTCCTAACAGAAGGGAATCTTCAATTAATAAAGTGCAATTCATTTTCATTAAAATACCTTAACTTCAGGCTTATACCTGGAATGAGAACTTGAAGACACAGCCCTAGAGT